AGAGTGAGTGAAAACCCATAGAGTCATCTCGACGACACTGTTGGGTTGATAAACAGAGACCTCTCTCGGCAGCGGTGTTACTGTCAGACACCCCCCCCCCCCACGTTCACTCTGATCACCGTACTATAGCTCTGCACAGGGCAGGTGTATCAGCAATTAGGAGATTGATGAAACCAACCCGCCACATTTCAGACTCTACAAATCAACAGGAATAGGAATGAAACGAAATAACTAGCACTCTTAATAGTGTCTAAAGTTCCTCTTCTGATGGATCCACGCCCTTTATTCCCAATAACTCGACGTTGAATACCAAAGTAGCGCCACCAGGGATGATACCACCAGCACCATGCTTACCGTACCTACAACGTGACCATGGTGATGAACTCGTGCATTGGTACATCGTGCTTACCCCTTGCCACTGGGAATAGTAATACGCCAGAGCTCTCCAGGGCACATTCCGACTAGGCCCTCATCCCACCCTTTAATGACACGGCCTGATACGACGATGTACGCCTACAGACAGTAAGGAATCTTACCGGCTCCAAGGGGTATCTCGAAAGGGCGATTCCTGTCTCTACTAGAGTCGAACTTCTTGCCATCCTGCAGGGTCCAACCAGTGTAGTGGACCGAGATCGAATCACCCTTCTTAGTGGGTCGAGCACACTGTTTCTCAATCAACTTATCAACAACTGAAATCACCCATCAGGCAACACTCAACCATTCCGCATAAAGATACCTACCCAAATCAGCATTTTCCGGTAGGTTAACGGCCGGCTCGGGAGCTACATCCTCAGCACCGACGAGGAAAATGGATAGAGCGCACGCCGCTAGAGCGAAAATAGAACGCATTGTTCTTAACAAAGGCTACAGAGGGAAGCTCACGTTTATAGGAGACGACCATTAACACGAGAACAGATTCGCTAGAAACACGATAACGAGGCGACACCAGTCGCGTCTACTGTAAAATAATGATGAAAACAATCACTCAACAAGAAGAACTTTCATAACATTGACAGCTCCGGGTGTCTCCTCTCTCATACCATGAACAGCTACAACCTTCTCACCGACTCTAGCAAAGCCCATCTGTTTAGCATGCTCAAGAGCATTATGAATGATTCTGTCTGAACCCTGGAAAGAGGGCACCTGTAGAGCTCTGACACCCCGGACTATACTCAAAGACCTCATCGTCGATAAGGATGTGGACAAGGCGAGCACGGGTTGGGCCGGACGATACTTCGTCAATAGACGAGCGGTGGCACCCGTTTCTGTTATAGCTATAATTAAACCACAGTTTGTCTCAGCCGCGAGGTCAACAGCAGCCGAGCAAACAGCTTCAGGCGTGCAGAGCCCAGAGGGGCTGTGATTCAGTACCCGAGTACGAATCCTCAAGAATAAGGCGTCGTAGTCAATAGCCTTCTCAGCCTCTTCACAGATACGACGCTGAATGGTAAGAGATTCAACGGGGAACTTCCCACCAGCAGTCTCCCCAGAGAGCATGACACCATCGGTACCATCGAGAACAGCGTTGGCAACATCACTGACCTCAGCACGAGTAGGCCTGGGATTCTCGATCA